AAGATGCTAATGCAGATATAGAAAATATCCCGAGGAGGAGAATGGTCATATTTAATTTACAATAACTTTTTCGGAGTCCTAAACCTCTAACAATTTCACTTTCAACATAAAGACAAAATTAAATTGGCGCCATTGATTGTTTCAAAGTTATGAAAAAGTAAAAATGAAGTTGTCTTTAAAGCTTTGAGCTGGCAAGCAGACTAGTGAGAAGAGGCTTGGAAAATGTAAAAGAATGGGGAAACATAGTAGAGTAGAAGATCAAGTACAAAGAGATGACAACAACCTTTTCCAGAGCAATAACAAAAAAAAAGGATTCCTCACCTCAAGACTAGGTAAAATATAATGTTGATGGTGTTTGACTACATAGGGGAAATATAATGGGTTGGGATGGATACTAAGAGATAAAAGAGTGTTTCGGCAAAATTTAACCAGGTTCGCAAGTACACAGATCTACGGAATGAAAGAGAGAAGTATAGCTTTATTAATCAACGAGGTAGGCTTGTAGCCGAATAGTATTACAACGTCTAGATGTTTAAGGCGTTGTAAAGAACTTCCTTGGATGTGGAAACGAGGCTAGATCTCTTGGTTGATATCTCTTGGATGCTGTGAAGATGTAGCTCTTAGGTTTTCTTTGTGTATTTCTCGATGATCTCCTCTTCTCTAGGATGTCTCTATTTATAAGACTTGATCAAATCCTTTTCGGATTAGGATGAGACCTGGCGTCAAGATTATCTCCTTAATAATTGGGATTATTGATATGTTTGAATTCTTTACCGCTTCATGTTATGAAGTCAAGATAATGATGGACCTCGTTGTACATCCCACACCCAAGTCCATGCGAAGTTATCTTAATAGACTTGTATTTAATTTATATCAAATAACTTAACTAGCCTTGTAACGACGTCGTAACGACGTTCTCGACTTAACAACAACGTAGTAACGACGTCGTAATAGCGTTCATGACTTGATAACAACTTAGTAACGATGTCCTACTTGCTACTGACAAGTCATTTCTCGATTTTACATGACACACGTGATGTATTGCCAGGTAATAGCAGTTTGTTACCTCGTTTAGCATGTCGAAGACAATCCCTTGTCATGTATCAGCAAGTTATGACCTCGTTTTACCTGACGTAGATGATGTATTGTCAAGAAAGGAAAGTTATGACCTCGCTTTACTTGACGTAGATGATGTATTGTCATGTAAATGCAAGTTATGACCTCGCTTTACTTGACGTAGATGATTTATTGTAAGGTAAAGGCAAGTTAGGACCTCGCTTTACCTGACATAGATGATGTATTGGCAATATCTGACTTGGTTATGACAAGTCATTACCTCGTTTTACCTGACATAGACGACGCATTGTCAGGTAACAGCATGTCATCAACTTATTAGACCTGACCTAAATAGTGTAGAGCCAAGTCTCATGTTCAAACCATCACTAAACAAGGTCTACCAATTAGTGAATTTATTTTCCCCAACAAAGAGCAAGGTGTTATGGATGAGAGCAAGAGCAATACCAATACCAAAATCGATAATTGAAACATGAACTAAGGCCTTAAGATGGACAATCTTAACCTTGAATGGATTTGGATATCGGAAAATCATCTATGAATCAGATAAAAGGCAACTTATTTCAATCTTAAAGGAATAAGATGAGACAGTGCGTCTCTCAAGCCGGTAGTACAAGATATCAAATGCATGCACTCCCATACCAATTGATGTCATGGTACGATTTCATCCTAGGAACATCAAAAAGTGGTTGGTAAGGTAGCAAATGAATTTCTTTCTTTTTTTGGCGAGAAATATGATCTTAAGTTATATTTTTAGTGCCAAAATGGACAATGTTGCAAGTCGAGCTTGATAATCATTAGAATGAATGATAAATTGTTGTTGACCCAACAAAAACTAAAACCTCTTTTAAACTACACTACACCCATTTAAGACTGTGGTATTGTGGTAGCTTGTTATAATCTTATATTATGTTTCACCGACTATGAATTTGCTCTTATATAAGAGCAAAATATATATAATATATTGTTTCAAATTTTTTTTTTTTATCCCAATGTATAGCTGGAAAAGCATTAAGAGAGAAAGTAAATTAAGAAGAAACAGATTAGCTTTAGTACTTGAGACCAATAGTGAGTTCAAGAGACAATACCTCGCCATTGTTATCATCTTTGTGCTCTTCACCATTTAGACTTTCATTGAATCAAGTCTGTTATCAACATAAACATTAACATAAATATATTAAATCGTAAGGTATAAATGTACATATATTATGATATAACATAAAAAAATTCTTCTCAAGTTTCTACTGTCATATATAAATTATGTATCTTATCATATGTTAAAACAATAAATTTCAAAGACATGTTTAACTACTTTTTGAATGTCAATATTTTTCATACTATAAAAGTTTATCACTAAAATCAACATAAATATTAGAAAAAAAAATTCAAATGTAGCCATGAAATAGTTTTAAAAACCATTTGTAAGGATATTATACAAATATATAAAATATAGAAATTTTATTAAATACCACCGTTGATGTAATTTTTAATCTTTCAAAAATATCATTAACCTAAATAGTTTTTATCATGATTTTTT